GGATATTCTGGTCCAGACTCGATTTTTTTACAGACCGCCGCCATCTATCTGGAATATTGCTGAGTGCGGAGTAAAACTAAACTCAAGTCACTCCGGCTCTCTGGCTGGTTGAGTTTGGGGATGAGAAACACGTACAAATACGGACATTATTCTTGCCCAGCTGCCCCAAACAAGCATGAAGCACACTCCGGTGTCCATGCTGTCTGCTGACAAGTAAAGGGCCAGTTTGTTGCCAGTTGTGTTTGCTGGTATTTTTGGAAGGAAAAAGAAATAAAGTGTTCCCCTTCGCCATTTTGTTTTCAATAAAACGGTCAACAAACCTCCTCCCTCCTCCCAAAAATACTAATTCTGGAACCGGGTGACTGTTCAGTGGGAGAAATCCAATGTGATGCATCACGTTCACAGCCTTGGTGAAATCCTACAGCGCTGACACATGTTGGACAAGTCCGACTGATGATTAGCGGATCCTGGAGCGGCTAATGGAGGCAATTCTGAACAATTATAGCCCTGAACTTACTCACATGTAATATGATGAAAATGCCGCACTTTCAAATGGGGCAAATTCATTTCCCTTGATGAGAAATGTTTATTGTGGATTCTCAAAACCTGTTCTGTTTCCCAAATGGACATGGAGAAACGGTAAAAAATGCCAGCAAAATGAATGTATTTCGGACGTTTTAATTGGAATGTACCAGTGATAGTTGTTCCACCACGTTGTAAACAGGACTTCAAAAGAAAGTATACACTTGAAAATCGGATTCAGTCAAACAGTAACAAACGTTACTAATCTGAACTTCAAATCACATACGTATGACACCTGTATCAAATGCAGTGAGTGAGTTGGGCTTTACGCCGTTTTTAACAATATTCCAGCAGTATCACGGCGGGGGACACCAGAAATAGGCTTCACACATTGTACCCACGTGGGGAATCGAACCCGGGTCTTCGGCGTGAGGAGCGAACGCTTTTATAACTAGGCTACCCCACCGCCCCTTATCAAATACAGTACTATCGAATCAACATTACTTGTCTAGTAGCCACCATCAGCTATATGAATGTTTTCTTTGCCTGGAGTTGATCATGAACAAGTACAAGATCTGGACATTGTTGGTGCCGTATGAGGACCCTTCTGTCAAGGAAATATGGACCACCCGGTTATGGCCTTACTTGTAATTTATTCACACAGAATCGTCCGAGACATTTTGTTTGGAACTCACGTTGTTGACGCAATTGTTAGGTGTCAATTCCAGTACTCTCATCAAGCCCAGAACTCTCCAAGAGACAGAAGACACTGAGCATTACTTCTCACGTTCCTCTCCCCCCTGGCGAGCAGGTGTGGTAAAACACACAGGTCAGGATGGACAGAGAGGTTGGATAATACTAGACCCGTTACATCAGTCGCCTAGGTGACTCTGTCGTTAAACTAGCGCTGCGCCAACAACACGCAGCTGACATGATGGACTGTGTTTGACGTCACGCGACCCTCGACACACAGCGCCATCTAGTGTCCACTGTGAGAGGTGTGCAGGTGGAGATGTCGAGAGGAAGTGCAGCTCTCCACGTTGACGACACATTCCTCCCCCTCCTGTGTGATTGCAGACGTGAAGTTCGACCGACGACATCTACCTACTACCCTTCGCAGTTTGGGGCAACTCTTTGTCTCTTATTGCTGGGGTGTTATCAAGTGCCCGTTGTGCAACAGGCAGCAGATAATCTCACCTCGTAATTAATCCGGATGTGACGTCACTATGTCTCTTTAGAGTCAATATATCGCATGATGTCCAAATGTTGTTTGTAACAAATTTACAAAATTTAAAATTAAATGTGAAAATATAACCTTGTATTACGCATAAAATATTTTAACACGTTCGTTTTCTTCTTACTGTTCATCAGGTCATCAGAAAAGTCCCGTAATCGTTTTTTCAATTTGCAATTTCATCATGTTTTGCCCGTTGTATTTTCTTTCAATGAAATTCATACGTCTATTTTTGTAACATAGCTTTATCTGATGTCTTTCAGTTACGTGTGTTATTTAGGATTTGACATTAATACAGTTGTATGTTAACGGTAGTATATACGTAACAAACTGGCTTGGACACTCTTTAAATAAATAAACGCAAAAAAATATTTAAGGTATTTTTATTGATAATTGCGTTTGCAATAATACCTCAATGGTTGCTTATTTAATCAGTATCTGAACAGAGTGAGTGAGTTTGGTTTTACGCCGCTTTTAGCAATATTCCAGCACCCCAGAAATGGACTTCACACATTGTACCAGTCTGTGGAATCGAACCCGGGTCTTCGCCGTGACGAGCGAACGCTTTAACCACAAGGCTACCCCACCACCCTTATCCGAACAGAACTCTGGACAACAGTTCGTTAATGGCCGAGGCTAAATTTATTTCAGGTTTAATAAAAGGTTCCTCAGCCAATCAAATGCCACTGAAATCATTTGCAATATATCTATTATAGGCTGAAAATGATCAGGTATTTGATGATGGTTGAATTAACATGGCTATTGAGCCATGGCTTCAGGCGGCGGGGTAGCCTAGTGGTTAAAGCGTTCGCTCGTCACGCCGTTGACCCGGGTTCGATTCCCCACATGGATATAATGTGTGAAGCCGATTTCTTGTGTCCCCCGCCGTGATGTTGCTTAAATATTGCTAAAAGCGGCGTAAAACTAAACTCACTCACTCACTTTTGAGCTATGTCAAGGTTAGGCGTGCTCGCGATTAGGTGCCTGGCTGTGAGGGTGTGGGTTCTAATCCCGAATTGGACCCAACCCATCAAAGTACTAAAATCTGTACTTTACTAAGAAAGTGTAATCCCAAATTTAACATGATGTTACAGAAGGTATCAGTGTTTTTATCAGAGCAAATCGTAGGTGTTAACAAATTCCAAATGCAACTGACTAAATATATTTCAAAATTTGAAAATTACATTCTTTGATTGAAAGAAACACACCAATTTTCAAAGAAAATGTTATCACCTGAAACCCTATAACTCTAATGTACTTGTGCGCGTGTTTAACTGCAGAGCAAAAGAATGTATAACTTCAAAATTTGGATTTTAACAAAACATTACAAATATCAAAACATCACTACGCTGAAAACAGTCGCTAACACGCTCCAAACTTACGGATAAAAAGACAACTATGATGCCCGTGTCGAATACAGCACAATGAAACAACCAACCGTTTCTGGTTCGTTCTGTTTTAGTCGCCACCAAACATGGGTGTATAATTTATTTTGCCCTGCTGTGTATAACAGGAAATAGTTTATAATGACTTTGTTGTGGCGTCTGAAGCATTTGTACTAAATCTTCACCCAATAAGAGACCGCCTCCGTGGTGTAGTGGTTAGAGCGTCCGCCCGGAGAGCGGAAGGTCGCGGCTTCGATCCCCGACCGCGTCACACCAAAAGAGGTTAAAATATGGTACTTGTTGGTCCCTGCCTGGCGCTCGGCATTAATGGGTACAACAAGGACTGGTCGGCTCGGAGTCAGTATAATGTGTCTGAGTGTGGGTATTCATGCTTCACTGCGGCATGGTATCTCAGTGGGCTAGCACTATAAAACCAGCTTCAGTCTGGGCTAGTACAAGCAGCCGCACATACACATACACACGCATGCACGTTGTCATATGAGCGAAATATTCTCAAGCACGACGTAAAACCCTATTTCACCTCACCTCACCTCACCTCACCCAATAAGAACTTCCCTGTCTGTCGACGTGAGGCACTAATATACCCTTGCGTTCTGATGGATGAGATGATATAGCCTTTGTAATGTCCCATTACAAGATATCAGAACTCATATTGTGTTACCTGTTGATCTGCCCTTTACATCTACCTAATATACTGCAGTTTCATTTCACGCGTCTTGCACATGGTATTGCCAGCCTGTAATGTGACAGATTAGAGGATGTCATCGATTGTTGTTGCAGATGTTGCTGTTGCACAACCACGTGACCAAATCAGGCCAGGATTTCTGGGTGATGTTCCAATAGGCTTTATAAGCCACATAACTTTCTATTATTAAATACGTTCACTTGGCCAATGATGATTGTAGCGTTAAGGTCGTTGTCTGATTCAGGCACATGGAGCTAATGGGTGAGTGAGTAAGTATAGTGTTATGCCGCTTTTAGCAATATTCCAGCAATATCAGCAGAATTGGGCTTCACACATTGTACCCATGTGGGGAATCGAACCCGGGTCTTTGGCGTGAACGAACGCTTTAACCACTAGGCTACCCCATCGTCCCCATGGAGTTAACATAATAATAAAAAAACAACATTGTTATCTCGCCATCGGTTGTGTCCCAGCATACTGCGGAGTCCGTTATGTCCGGATTAACAAAGGATGTGAACGCAGTGTTGTCAACATTGTGTGTAGGACACATTCCAGGGAGCAACTGTCCAGATAGTTGGGGTTCCCGATTACGGGGATGTCAGTGTATCCTTTAGAGTAATACGTTTTGAACAGAGCAATGAGATATAATTCTTAAATATTGGTTCAAAACAGATTCTGTCCATTTTGACTTTTCAAAAAGGCCACGTCAGATAGAACCTCAAGTAGATCTTATCAACTGTTCCACGAGATCATAGTGAGTGAGTGAGTGAGTTTAGTTTTACGCCGCTTTTAGCAATATTCCAGCAATATCACGGCGGGGGACACCAGAAATGGACTTAACACATTGTGCCCATGTGGGGAATCGAACCCGGGTTTTCGGCGTGACGAGCGAACGCCTTAACCACGAGGCTACCCCACCGCCCCCCACGACATCATAACAATTGTACTTCTCAGTAGGTCCCATCAAGTGTGGCTTGAGAAAGGTTCCCTCAACTGTGATCTCAAAAACTCACCAGTTATGACCCAGATTCAGTCAATTAGCCACTCAGGTTCCATGAACTCTGACCTCAAACAGATCCCATCTAACAAATCCATTTCCGCGTCCGGTAAATCGAAAGCATTCGGGATGAATAAGAAAAACAACCATATTTTGTTCAGATGAAGGGATTGGTTTATTAACAAAATATAACAACATATGATACACGCTGTGGAGGACCAAATGGCGATGTGTGCTTAGTATTGAAACAATGAATATAAGTGAGTCGTCTCCTATATCTACAGTATACAAACTTTAAACTCGCCGCAACACTCGCAGGGTCGGACGTGTTTCCATGTTCAGCACTTTGGAATATACAAGTTACAAGGAGTTCTCATCAGTAGAAAAATAGCCAATGACGTGCTGCCACGTAACTTTTACGTCATCGAAAGTCGTAGTAAAAACTATACATTTTTCACTGATAAACCAATACAGGCACAAAACATGCATAGTCTTATTTGTACATTGTATGAAATTAAATAACATAGGTCTAGATAGATAGGTATATATATGTGACATATGATGACATATGATGACATTTTGAAAGACTTATGAGTTTATAAACTCACGCTAAGATTGTGGGGGTATCTTTAAGGCACTATTAAGGAAGACGTCATTTGACGTTTGTAAGCGTAATAAGGCATGTTGGTGAACGTATTCCGTATCTGCAATATCCAAGCCGTTCATCTTACATTTCTGGGTGAAAGGCGATACATGTTCATCACACTAATATCATGTACATCATTAAGTCATTTCCTTCATCTATCAAATGCATCCATTAGAGTCATAGTGTTAAAGTCGAGGTAATTTGAACTTCTGTATAAGAATAACTCTCGCATCAGGCGGCGTCGGTTAGCACACGCTCTATCTACTGTAGTTGTCAATGTTTATCAGACATAAATAAATGCGGCATTCCGTTTGCTACCCGTTTATCAGCTTCGGATGTCGTCGTCGTCGTATCGTCGCAGATCTACGCTACTACAACATCCGCCGTGCACGTTGTCGTTTCCGTGGCAAGAGACACGTGCTGTTATCAGCTGGAAGCATTTCGTTGCATTGTGTTTTGTATAAACCCAATGTACACTATTTACATAGTTAGCTAATTGAATACATTAGCCGAGACATGTAGAGCTCTGTGAAGGACTATATATTTGTATTAGCACCGGGTATGGAACCGGTGGCTAGGTCACCCTCCCACCTCTCGTCCCACTTCTCGTCCTGTCTCGTCCCTCTGCCTGTGTCCGTCGCACTCGCAGCTGGGACCATCAACGTCACGCGCACATCATGCACTGGTTCAGCTTCTCTTATCACAGAATCACGTGACTTTCTCCACCAATGACTCGCCACCTCGCCATGTATGGTGTGAGACCACGAGAAACATTGAGACCAATAGGAAATGGGCCAGCCCAATCTCTAGAGACTATGAGTTGTAGACTCATGTACACAGCCGCAGTTATCACATAAATAATATGCGCCAGGATCTGACGTCAGGGGAAGTCTCTAAGTCATTACTAAAGCCTTATTTCACGGCCTTCTTTCGTACTGACGCCTTTTCTGGAGAATCTGTTTTTGTGGAGGTTGTTCCTCTCATGGAGAGGCGCTCTTTTGGTTTATTGAGTCCAATTCGTTTCAGGAAGGACGGGGATTTGTCCATAGAACTTCCTTCCGAATCGTTTTCAGTCACAGTCGAAAGTGAATTGTTCATGGTACTTTTGTCTGGAGATTCAGACTTTTTCACACTTCCGATTTTGTTGAGGAAAGGCCTTCCTTTCTTCTCCGACTGAGTCTTCTCCCGATCTGTCACCGGAGTTTCTGCGTGCGATGGCTTGGGCGTGGACGATCTGGATGACGGGAGCCTCAGACTGGAGGTTCGAGTGAGGGGTGATGTTGTTGCTGGGGACATGGCGCGTGATGCTGATGGGGGTGGTGGGGCGTGTCTTTTGGTCCTGGGAGGGGCGGAAGGTGATGGGGAGTCTGTGTTCTTCTGTGCTTTAGATGAAGCAGTAGGGGACATGAATGAAGGTTTCTTCTTTCCATCAGATGACACGGGAGTTGAGCTCCTCTTGGTTTCAGCTGAGGTTGACCCCAATAATGAACTCCTTTTGGAAGACGTCACCCTCATGGACTGGGTTCTGTTGAGAGTGGAGGGAGTAGTAGGCCTGGAACTACCTGCTGGGGTTGTGGGTCGGGAGGATGGAGACAATGTGTTGTTCAGCCTGGTCTTGGTCGGGGAACTGGTTGTCGATGTTGATGAAGACAAGCTTGTGTTGGAACCTCCCACCTTAGATTTGTTCAGATTTGTACCTGGAGAGCCGGTGGAGAGACGAGACTTTGTACCACGGATGGAAGTCCTTGCTGCTGTATTTCTGGTGAAGGATGTGGAAGCAGATGCCCGTGTAGCAGCTTCAGCCCGCATGGATGCTCGCGCAGAGATGTTGCGACTCAGAGTGCTAGGTGAAGGTGAAGCCCTGCCGTTATCAGTGCCAGTGGAGTCGGCCCTAACTCTTGCTGAGGCGCAAGCTGTACCTTTCATAAAACCAGGAATTGAGCGACCCGTCTTTGCCTTTGTTTGGGTTTTAGGCGTATCTTTAGGCGTAGATGGTCTGGAAGTCTTTGGAGAAGTTGCTCTTTTCACTGAATTGACGGGTGTCGTTTTACTGTTCATTTCAGACTCTTTTTCACTCCAAACTTCCTCCTTTGAAGTGCCATGACCACTATCTGGAGATGTTGCTGAATACTCAACTGATGAATCTAGAGAGGAGTTCTTGCTGATCTGTCCTTGACTGCTGGCCATGACGGACGCTGTCCAGCTCTCTGTTCTTTGCTTACGACTGTCTTCTTCAGGCAGTGCTGCATTGGTTATTAGGTCGCTGTTGGCAGCCCTGTATCTGTGTGAGTCGGCTTTCCTTGAGAGAATCGGTGTGCTTAGGAATTCAGAGTCTACGTTACTACTAAGAGACGTTCTCTGTGAGACAGTTCCTGACATGCTTTCAAATCCTTCATCACGTTCATTGCTACTGGCGTAACTACTGGCATAGCTGCTTCTTGAACCCACTTCGTTCTTGAGATCCTGGTCCTGGTCATGATGATGTAAACGATTGTGAGGCATCAGGTGTCCATCATGATCAGTGATATTATCATAACCACTGATCCTTCTCTTGTCGTTTCGCTTCTGGCGCCACTTGGCCATGGCTGTTAATGGACTTTCATCATCAGGCTCAAACTGACGATTCCTCATGTTATGACGAGCTACAGACGGGTCTACATTCGAGTAACCAGGCTCGGAATTATTTTGACAGATTGGGGATACTCGCTGAGTCTTCTCTTCCATGCCCACACTTCTCCTCCTTTGTTCTGGGGAGGAGTCACCATCACTCAGGTTATCAGCTTGCAGTGTTTCAGTTGAGGTGTTGGTAGATTTGATGGAGAGACGACTCTGACTTTTTGGGCTGTCACTCTTTGCGGATGAAGGACGTCGTTCTGGTATTTTCATCATTTCATTGTCACTGTCATCGCTGGGAACGTACACACCATGCCGACGAGGATCCATAGACAGTCGACTAGCACTCCCTCTGAGTATTGCACGTTTCTCGTCAGTGGTATCAGGGGCACTACCACTATTCCGTATCGTGAACTCATCCTTTTGGTTCATCGCATTTCTTGCAACCGATTCATCATAGCTTTTAGACCGGCTCATGCCAACCTCTAGCTCCTTGAGGGCTTTATCTACAGAGTCCTTCTCCACATTACTCTTGCATCTGCTACTTGCTGAGTCACTTTCTGGTTTCTTGGAACCGAACCGGTCTCTATTGAACTTTTGCTTCCCTGTCAGTTTCCCAGACTTCTCATTCTTTTCTCTGTCAGGGCTCACCTTGCTTTCATCAGCTTCTCCGATGGACTTTCGTCTAGGGGGAACAACAGGACTCTTGGTAGGTTCTGGCCCTTCTGTTGGTGAATGTACCTTTGTATCTGGCTCAGTTTGCTTCTGTTTTAAAGCACTCTGTACTTCATCGAGGGAAACATGAGCCCGTTTCTTTCTTGTTTCTCTTTTGGTTTTGAGAAGGAGTTCAGAATTGGGAGTGGAAGACCTGCTATCGTCTTTAGACATAAGTTCAGGTCCAGCACTTACAGGCCTCTTTTGCATTGGCCGGGAAACACCAACACTATCTATAGCCCGGTCGGTGTCTTCTATCTTCTTCAAGACATGGTCGATATCTGTGCCCATTTTCTGACTGATCTGAGCACGGATGGACAGTTTACCACTATTCAAATCAGAATCATCTCGAGATCTTTTCTCATGATCTTTCATAGACCTTAGGAATATGTCCAATTCAGCAGGATCCAAACTGCTCTGGAAACGCTTAAAAAGTCTTTCCCGCGTTTTAACTAGTTTCTCATTCGAGTCACTGTTATTATTATCATTTTCAAGACCGGTAATATCGGATCTAGTATCTCCGTTAACGCTGGTATCATTACCCACACTGATCACAGGAGTCACAAGTTTGGATTTTTCATCAATGGTTTCAAGAGGTCGAGGCGATTCTGGACCAGAAATATTTACCCGCCATCTATTATTTGCCTTGGGAGACTCAGATCCTGAATTTAAAGGAATATCAAGCTTCTTGGGAGTATCTGGGAGCTTCCTTGCTCTTTTTTCAACATCCTCTGATGGAGGAGGCGTCTTAGTGACATCGGGACTGTCACTTCTACCTTTTTGATACAATTTCCGTTTAACCCTTTCAAGAACGTCATCCTTGCTATCATCGTCAGCTTTCCCTGAAGAAGTAGACACTACACTGTCACTGTCACTGTTATAACGCCTTGACGTCGTCTTGTCATACATGCTGCGGGTCCTTCTGAATGGACGAACTGGAGCATCGCCTGGTAATGACTCAGAAGAAGGACGATCAGCGGATGTAACTTTCACTTCCTTCGCAGAACTAGGATCTGGTGAAGCACGACTCTGTTGATCTGTTACGCGAGGAGAAGGGGCTCTTTCCCTGTCTATTATGTCCAGCAATCCTTTTCTATCCTTCCTCTTCCGCCTCAAACTACCATACCGATCAAACGCAAGATCTGGTCCTTTCTTGTCCTCACCAACATTATCATTCAAGAATTCTATAAGGGAAGCGTCATCCTCAGTAGCATAGCTCTTCCTGGATCTGGTTTTCTGGATGTCTGGCACGGCATCCTCAAGGCTACTGCATGTACTCTCAGTGTCCGTCGTGTCCAGACTCTTATCCTCCAGCTTCTCAGACTTCCTCATGCTTCTTCTCGTGCTTCTCCTCCCAGTACCATTCCGAACAAACGGAGTGTCAGCAGCCGGAGCAGCATCACCCATCCCACTGATGAGGCCACTAGCAACGTCCAGATTCACCTTCTGAACCTTCTTCACACTGAAGCTTCCATCGTTGTATTTCTTGTTGGTCACCCCGGATCTCACATCAGCCAACAGCATGTCCACGATGGAACCGTTCTCAGGACTAGTTGGGGAACTTCGGTCCATTGACATATCCCCTGGTTCCTTCAAACCTTCAGCTGCAAGAGAACAAATACGTTTAGACTGGTGTTACATAGTTTATGAGGGCACTACAACTGATCCAAAACACTGAAAAGGTCAGGTCGTGTAAAAGATAGCTTTGGAATGATCATAAGAACTAAACTGCTGACCAAAGAATACATTTATAATCTGTATTTTTAAAATACAAACGTTACTGGCTAAAAAAAGACGCCGAACGACTGCAATTTTAAGATCCAACACACGGCTATGCCACTCGTATGCAATAAATACATTACAGTCGAATCTCCATTTTCTGTTTCACATATAGCCAGCATCAAACATGGGATTCTACCTTCTTTTGCACGACTGTTTAGTGGAATGTTACATAACTGTAAATGCAAATATACCTTGCGTAAACGCAAATGACCACTACTGACCTTGTTTTTCAGCCAGTTTCTTGGAATTCTCCGACTCCTTCTGCCTTCTCCTGGCTTCAGCCTTCTCCTCCTGTACACGTCGAGATTTGTTCTCCTGCAAAACAGTCATAAAACGTCAGACACATGACGCTGATCGCGGTACTATATGTCAAACATTGATATATGATTTGACTGAACTTTTAGTCATACTGGAAGATTGAAATTGTATTATTACCCAGTACATATCTATATTGTCTTAAGACTTTTCTTCCTTATACCCTTCCAAAAACAAAACACATTATATCTATATAAGTAACTTAACCACACAAACAAAATTTTAGTATTCCAAGCACTACAGCATGCCTTACGGGAACACCATCCAAGTCGTTACACGTTACTTTGAAATACAAGTAAATCACTATCAATATACTCCAAGATCTCTGTGCCTCACCTCTATAGCCTTCTTGAATCTGTCCATAAATATCTGCAGTGTCTTGAAGCAATCTTCCAGTTTGAAGCTTGATGCCTCTTCACAGAAGAAGTCGGCCAACTCCAGACGGAGAGCGTCTATGTCCTTCAAGTCTTCCTGCAGCTCCAGCACCTCCTCATTGGCTTCCTGGAATGCAAGAACAAATGATTAGTTGCTGGGATACGATTACAAAAGATTACAAAAGATCTAAGATGAATATTCGTAACTTTAATACATTCCTGTAAAAATTAAATAATTGCCTTCTATTGTGACTGGTTGTACAAAACGTATCCAACGGTAAGTCTTTATGTTTTCGTTTCAAAACGTAGCAAAATGTTCATTCAGTTCTTAAATATCAACACGGCTGTTCATGATTTGGGTGGTTGATTTCGACAATTGTGGTAATATGTTAAATAGGTTATTCCCAGATCAGCCCACCAACAAGGTAGAAAATATCAACGTTGACTAGTAGAACAATTACAAGTGTCAATACCTGCCCAAAATATCTCAACCATACACATGCACAAACATAACTCATTCGGTGAGTACGTGGGTATAAACAGCGATCCAATATTGACTCAAACATATATGGTCACGACTGTTTTCCCAAACTGTCACATATCAAACGCCAAGGTTTACTCGAAATCCCCGATCTAGCCACCAAACAATTAGAAGTAAGTGAATTCTGTGCGTGGTGGCCATAACGTCAAAATAGTCTCCCTTTTTCTCACGGTATCTGATGACATAACTGTATCCCATAACCGGTCGGGCGTTATAGCTCTGTATCACATATCTCGCCCCTGGCTTAGGTAAACACACCCGTGTTATAACGTACTGGAACACGCCAAGCACCAACATAGGTATGGGAGGAGGACTGTAGCAGATTGACACGGGAAGCCCCCAAATTAGAGGCTTCGTAGGCCAAGAGGCTAAAAGGTCGGAATACATATGAGAAGTATTATTAATATGTTCTGAAGAAGCAGGGGAACATTTCTTTAATCTGCGGAGGGTAAAGTTTAGGCTGCGTTTAGTGATCTAGTCATTAAGGCGAGACAGGATGGTGTGATACATTGTACCTGTGAGGTAATTGAACCCAGGCCGTTCCCGTGACGAGTGAACGCTGTAACTACTATTCTACCTTGCTACCCAATTGGTTTAGGGACCGCCTCCGTGGTGTAGTGGTTAGAGCGTCCGCCCGGAGAGCGGAAGGTCGCGGGTTCGATCCCCGACCGCGTCATATCAAAAGACGTTAAAGTAAGGTACTTGTTGGTCCCTGCCTGGCGCTCGGCATTAATGGGTACAACAAGGACTGGTCGGCTCGGAGTCAGTATAATGTGTCTGAGTGGGGTATTCATGCTTCACTGCGGCATGGTATCTCAGTGGGCTAGCACTATAAAACCAGCTTCAGTCTGGGCTAGTACAAGCAGCCGCACATACACATACACACGCATGCACGTCGTCATATGAGCGAAATATTCTCAAGTACGACGTAAAACCCAATTTCACCTCACCTCACCTCACCTCACCTCATTGGTTTAGGGATTTCAGATATTGCCAGCCAACTCACCACATCTGTACTTGCCAACACTGTAAGGTCTCCTATACAATTATGACGACTCCATGTCGGGGTAATTGGGTTAATTTGGGTTAGAAGTTCGTAACTTTATGTGAGAAACACAGATGTACCCACCATTAGGAAAGACGCCATCTGGGATTTGAAGTCATCGCCAGTCTTGCTGATCTGGTCAGATATGTCCTTGACCTTGGTGGTGATGCTCTTGATGTCTGACATTAGACTGTCCATGGCAGTACTGGAAGAGAGGAAGGAGACATCATTATCGCATCTACCCCGACATCAACGTCTCTAACGACCACGTCACCTGTGTTCATCATTATAACCCAGAACAGATGTAGAGGAGACACTTTAACACTATGGTACGAGTGAATTAGTTTTAACGCCGCTTAAACGTTATTTCAGTTAAGCCACGACGTTCAGTTTAAAGCGAGAGCACAAGTGAAGGTTCTCAAGTTGTACCACCTAAGAACGAGCACGGATACGATGCTTGCAGGCCGAAGATAATTACACCATCGCAATCTTCAGAGGGGCGCCAGCGATGGACAATGGGTAATATTCCTTGTGGTGAACACACCCAGAACTATGCCACCCAATCACTCGTTCGACAATGACACCTCCTTTTTAGGTGCAGTAGTCGTGACTACCAAGAGAGGATAACATACATGCCTTGTTAAAAACCTCTTTAACGAACTTAAGTCCGTAGCGGAATGCGGTCTGTCTCCGAACAACGACTTGACTTTAAAGGTCATATACTACGAGTACTTAATATGGACTTGAAGTGCGTGGTTTTGTGTACGTTAATGGATTCGCTGTCTGCACTATTGGAATGAATAACATCAAGCGTATAACGGGACCTGGCTGCACTCTGTGCATGTACTACTGATACCGCAGGTCAGATCATGTCATGGTGCAGCCCCCATGTTGCCTCGGCGTCAGGTCATAACATCAGTCCTATGTGTGACAGCCGGTTCCCCTTGACCCGCCCTAACGCTACCCCCGATGTCGATGAGTGTAGGAATGCCATGACGACGTGACGGGGTGAGCAACGACATCACAACATTCCAGTAAACTGCATACAGAGCCGGCAGTGTGTCTCCAGTAGGTCTGGTCAGGTTCACAATGAAATATCAGAGGTATTGTGTTCTACAAGACGTAACCGGGATCAAAGAGGATATCACACTTCGCCATGTTTACTCTTAACGTTATTTCATAACAACTGCACTTTCCTGCGCTCTGACACACAGTCAGCACGTGAAGAAATGCATTCATGTACTTCATACGTGATTGTGTTCACAAACCTTATATAACAGTGCATTGGGGTGGTTTGGTCTTTAAAAAATCTTTGTATTGCCTCATATGCTCTTGATCAGCATATGCAAGGGGCATTTTACAAAGTAATCTCAGCGTCACGGCTGTCGTACCCCAATGCTTTAACACAGACTTAGGAAAGCCGTAACAGTAATGTCGCTTTGTAAAACGGTTCTCTGAAATCGAGAACTTTATAGACAAGAAAAGGATACCGTTTACTTTCTGACAAAGTCCTTGTGTTATCTTGGAGGAAGAGGAAACTGCATGGTTGATCTGACACAACACAGGGAACATTTAATGTTACAGAACATTAATGTTTTATATTTATTACAATAACAAAAACAGAAACCTACTTGGAAGCATCCTTCAAGAACGTCATCTCCTCTGGAAAGTTCAGAAGCTTTGGGTTCTTCTGCTCTGCTTCCTGGAAACGAGATGAAATCCAAATGAATAATTGCCACATATGTATTACATCATGGTGTTTTGCTACACTGGTCGCCCTCGCGCAAACACCAGGTGTCCACTGGCATTAATTTTCATGTGTGATTTGCTACCGGTCCATGTCTGTAAACTGTCACAATGTCCTCAATGTGTCATACATTACCGAACAATGACACATAGCTTTACTGTTTTCCACGATGTACAGGGTTCACTTATCCAACACACTGAAATGAGTAAGTGGGTATAGTTTTACGCCGCTTTTAGCAATATCACAGCGGGGACACCAGAAATGGGCTCCACACATGGTACCCATGTGGCTAATCGAGCCGGGTCTTCGGCGTGATGAGCGAACGCTTTAACCACTAGGCTACCCACCGCCGCTACTGAAGTGAAACCACGTTTAAGCTTACCTGTGCGACATAATGAAGCAAATTCATTCGAGGTTTGTTTGCTCTGATCTCTGTGAGCTTCAGCAGTGACGACAGCTTAAACCCGGCAGCGTTGCCGGCATGGTTACCCTGCAAGGAGATAATTATGTGCAATTAAAAACACCACTAGCTTCAAATTGACTCGGAACAGGTATTACTCACCGAGCCATAATCTTTTCTTAATGACACGAATAAATACACAGCGTCTCTTTTTATTATAATCATATAAACGGATCCGGATAATTACATATCTATCTATGCTTGAATACGTAATCTGCTGCTTGCATGATGGTGATGATTGTAGGCATAATGTCATTGTCGGAATAGCTTAGTGGGAAGATGAATCCACTTCCTGCACAGTCATTGTGAATAAGCAAGTGCGTTTGGTGATGTACAGTGAAATCTCCTTAATCCGGACACTACCGTTCTGGGGTAAACGTCCAGACTAACAAATGTCCGGATTAACAAATGTCCGGACTACCAAATCTGTATATATAAACAGGTCCCAAACAAAACACCAGATGGACAGGTGTCTGGATTTCGGTCCGGAATCATAAAGTTACGCTGTATTTTCAACTAAAGCAACATCACAGCGACAACGATGAGTGAGTGAGTGAGTGAGATTAGTTTTACTCCGCACTCAGCAATATTACAGCTATATTGCGGCGGTCCGTAAATAGTGGAGTCTGGACCAGACAATCCAGTGATCAACAGCATGAGCATCTATCTTCGCATTTGGGATACGATGACGTGTGTCAACCAAGTCAGCGAAAATGACCACCCGATCCCGTTAGTCGCCTCTTACGACAAGCCTTTGGTTACTGAAAACGGGTATGAACAGCGATGGCACACGACGTGACAACCGTAAGAAAGGTGGTATCCGATTCAAAAGGGTCTGGACTACGGAGGTTTAATTGTGTTTTGAACTTGAACAACAGCTTCCGCAACAACGATTACACATAACGTGATTCTTTGACAACTCGTGTGAGAGGAGGTTGCAGCGCGGTACTGCTTGTGAGAAATTAACCTCTTTGTTTACAAATCTAACTAAAGGTCGTGTCTCTTTGTTAGTTAGTTTGTTAACTTTCCATGAACAAAGCTGAGCGGCCCACATAAAGCTGGTTTAGTAAACGCTAGAATGACAAGTCGGTTACGGCGGTCGACTTACCGCGTTCAAGTAATTTCCAGCAATCAACACCAGGTAAATCAGCTCACGTAGGGACCGGCTCTCTTTGATCTCTGAAATATACAAAGAAAAGTGATTAGCTTAATTTATTCTAATGTGCGTTTATATACTCTGTTGACATTAACAATATCCGGACGCACGTCTTGTTTTACTAAACAGCACGACAATGAGTGATCCGATCCCCTTGCGATAAAACCTAATATATAGCGCCAAAACACGACTCCCGTACATTGAGCTGTAAACAGCAGAAAATTCGTGTTGAAAGTAATCTTTTCACATCGCTGAGGGCACTCTCAGAAGCCCGTTGAAGGGTCCGGTCCTTCGGTGCATGCTGTAATACAAGTCCTAAAAGAGGGTGAAACTTGTTCGTAGTCCTTGTACACGTGGTCTTAGCGTTATTTATACAACAACCACCACGATCACCTAATCACCGATCTAACTTTGCAGAAAATTGCATGTGTCTTCATAATGCGCCCTCACAACATTCTCTTCAGCTGAAACCCTGTAATCATATCATTAGGGCCGGATTTGTTCAGTGGAGTGTAATGCTCCGCTATAGGTACTTAGGTAAGTATGTGGTATGTTTATGTAATCGCTTGTTGAACACTTCCGATGACAAGGGCCCTGATGTTTGATCATGTAATGTGATTTGGGTACGTAATGAAGAGATGGGACTTCAGAGGTGAGGGTTGGGGAGGGAGGGGGGTCACAAATTGCGGGGTGAGACAAAGACGAGATGAGGGATTTTGGGCACGTAATAAAGAAATGGGGCTTCAGAGGTGAGGGTTGGGGAGCGGGGATGGGGAGGGAGGGGGTCATAGACTGGGGGTGAGTCGAGATTGGATCAGGGACTGAGAAAGCAGATAGGGGTGGGGGAGACAAGATGAAGTTGCGGCTGCAGAGGTGGTGTAATGATGATGATGATGATGATGATGATGATGGTAGTGATAGTGAGCGTAGAGCACGGAGGGTGATGGGTGTTGGGGGAGATGTGATGATGTTGCGGCTGCAGAGAATGATAGAGTAAAGACGATGATGATGATGATGATGATGATGATGATGATACATTGGGGATTTAACGTGCGCTTTCAGACATATATTTCGCACTCGGTGGAGCGAGGCAGTAGAGAAGAGATGTAAGCGGGTAGCATGGAGGATGAGGGTCGGGGGTGGGGTGGGGTGAGGAGAGATTGAAGCACAGGGATGCATCAACCTGTCAAAACAATCCCTGTTTATCTTACAAGACACTGAACTCTTCATAATATTGATACACATAATACATTCGCGTGCGGCAGGGAACATGTTGATGTTATATAACTGTTAAGTGTCCGTGCGTGACGGCCAGGGAAGAGGCTGAGTCCAGTTATGTTGACCGCGGCGAACAGACAGCCCTGGTCGGGTTTCAAAACCACTTACACAAATCCTCCCCACCAATTACAATATCATAGCGGGGCGCACCGATCTACATACATATCATGGCTGGACATGGCAGTTCGCGAGACAGATTTCAAGGTAGAGTTACGACCGACAGGACATATTTGTAAAAAAACCATCACTAACAGAATTGAATTGTGTAGTGGGGCGGGATTGGAATGAGGGGGTAGTATCACAGCACGGGAGGTAATGGGGGAGGGATGGCCAGCACTATTCAAATGGGGTAAACAACGCATTTCACAGCTCTTACAATTACAGGAAGGTTTACATGGAGGCTCACAAGGTATACTCTTCACCGCATTCTTTGAATATCTGAGCAAATGTATTTAGTTCAGCCGATGCAACAATTTGCTGAATTCTCTCAACCACAATAAATTCAAGTTCAGCGAAAGTGAGTTTCCATTGAGAAGTTGATATTGGTATAATAATATACATGTACCATACTTTCAATAATAGCAGTTGTGACTGTTTATACTGGTAATGCTAATAGCCTGATAAAAAAATGACTGTTAAAAGAAACTTTACATCCACGTTTGATGCTGGCTACAAATGAAACCAAAACAGTTAAATCCAATGGCGGTGCTCTTGATAGGGGTATGGCAGTTGGGTTTCGGTCTTGTCTGCTGTGTTTAGGGGACTGGATAATCTGATGATTATGGGGATGATATGGTCGTCGTCATCATCGTCGTAGTCGTCATCATCATCATCATCACTACCATCATCATCACAATATACACGTCAATGATGACGCTCAGTAACCGACGGCTCCTACCTTTAGCAGCAGCGATGATGGCTTCCACAGAAGGGCCTATCCATTCCATGTTGGCGTGGAACTCTTCCTTGATCAGCATCCCGTCGATGCGGAGCCTGTAGCTGCAAGACAACGTCGGATTCTAAACATCTGATGGCGTTTCAGGGAATAATACACTGGACTTTTTATGTTTCAGACTTTTGTCAGCACGTCCCAAGTATTAACACTCTCATTGTTTGTGAATCGTTAAACGACTCTAAACATCGTCCAGTTGACAATGAAGAGCCTGGCAAAAACATCCGCCTTCAGGCACACGCATAAATGTCACATTAAGAAGCTGCATTAATCCAGTTCACTTTAACATATATGTGCTGTTTCAATTAGCTTCACCGTAATGCGGAAAAAAGAAAAGATTCTGTCAATCAAATTAACTCGCTTGTCGAGTTTCCCCCCTGAAATGATGAATGCCTCGGACACCTGACCTACATAACACTCCGAGGAGGTACATATATATGGCCCCTGTAACCACGAACATAATTATATTTCTGTGAACATGTTTAAATCTTTCGAAGTACCCAGGACAACAAGCTAAAGTGGTACAGCCAGCTCAGGGTGAATAGGCAGTTACCGGACCATTATTACAACATATAAAAAAGATGAAAGGGTCTTCTCGTCCGGTCGCATGACCCCACCGTCTCAGAGTCCATGCGTCCCCCCCTCGGTTGCCTGAGGGGGTGCGGGGGTATAGGATTTATTACAAGGCTTTGGGGGACGTAAGATCACGATGTCCTATCCGGGTGCTCTCTTAACATACTGGCGTCTAGATCATAAACATCCCATCAAAAAGCTATACCAGCAGAGATTGTTTATCGTATAGCACTAAACAATGTCTGAAGGGTTAGCTATTGTTAATAAACCTTTCTATCGCAGCGTAACACATGGTTATCTGAAGCTGCGGAAAGTTATCATGAATACTTGGAATCAGTCGAAAGGAAGATGCAATTTAACCCCGTTTATCCATACGGATTGTGTCCGGATAAACAGAATATGGACAATTTCCCGAATTGTTCCGCTTCAGGTTAAGATTTGATTGACTATGATATCTCGCCTTATACCGACAGGTCAGACAAATGGTGAACGCATCAGCTACTAGAACGTCCTCTTTATAAAGCAAAGAGAGCGTGTCATAGACTTGATGTTCCTTCAGGCCTCAGTACACCATGGGTATTCAAAAGATGGATGTTCTGCAGTGTATGTTTCATGTTCAACGTACTTTGGCAAGCCGAGAAGGCACACGAAGAACTTTTCAGCATGTCCTAGCTTCTCTTTGTCGCCATCGAAACTTCGGAAGACTTCAATCTGGAAAGAGAAAATGATGTGATTATGAGATGCTTGTTAATGTTAACACAGATAAAGATGGCTCGTTTAGATTTGGATGGAAAGGTCGATAAGACCCCCATATGACTGTGGCAGTCAGAAGTCCAGGCAGCATGTCCTTCGATTGTCAATATAACCAATAACTTTCAATGTACACCAATCCTTCGATTACTAAGTACTATTTCTTTATAAGACTGAAAATGCTGAAAATAATTTAGTGTATGTTTTTGCAAGGGAGAGACGTGTGTATGTGTGTGTGTGTTTGAGAGAGAGCGAGAGAGAGAGAGAGAGAGAGAGAGAGAGAGAGAGAGAGAGAGAGACGTGGAATACGAGACGGAGGTACTGAGCACGTGCGGACGGAAGAGTTGTTCATACCTCATCAACTGGCGGGAGAATCTTCTGCAGACCCTTTAACTTTTCAGCTCCGAATTTTGCACTGCTACCTTCTCTCAACAGACGAACTATCTCTTCATTCGGCATCTTGAATTGCTTCAAGAAAATGTTGACGTTGAGACTTCGTTTGCCGTCCAGAAGGTTGATCTGGTGATAGAAAGGTCAAGGTTACCAAGGGAAACAATCGAAATGTTCGTTAAATGACGTTAAAAAGTTTGATTTGAAGGAGAAGAAGGTTTATAAAGGCGACAATGATTCAATAGTCAACATTTGCCCACTTTGGATTTCATCAGGGTAAAATGGGCTGGGATTATAAAAGAGGATATTTAACATAAAAGATATGGGAATGTTTGAATCCACTTCAAACGCGTCTGATAAACAGGAAGTGTTTAACACCTACACAATAATTCATTCCGATTGAGAGAAACGGGTAAAATGTACATTTGTCGCAACATTTAACATTAAACCACGGTTCATTGATACATTATCCACTACGCCAGGTATATATTAAAACGCATCAATGTTTTGATCGTCTGCTTAATACGTGAAGGTATATTGATTAGATCAAGACTAAACACCCGACAGTAACGTTGACTCATACACCCGGGGGCCTGTGTCAAACGCATTATCACCAAATCTGTCCCCCTAGACTCCGATCCCCTCACTACCCTAGTCTGTCACTGGATCAGTGGCGGGACGACAAGGAAGACACGCAAGTGTGTGAGGCGAAGCTCAAAAATCGTTACGTAAACCTCAAAGTTGGTCCGATCTACGAGTTTTTTTACACCGATATATTGACAAAAATGCCTAGTCATATTTCCATTCACGATTATCATTTATCAGTGGAGATCAGTGATACCCTACCCGTCACTGACGGAGGAGTCTTTTGTCTATGATGAGAAAGACACTGGTTTTCTGGGTCAGAATTGACGGGCTAAATGACTTGAAAGTATCTAAGCAGCGATCTTCTTCCACTTTACGCATGCGCGGTTCCGAGGCTCATCTCTAACATTGGAAGGGTAGAGCAGACGACATTTAAGCTGCTGCCTGTGCATGCAGACAATGGAGGTTGACGAGCGGGTAATGTTGGTAACCCCTATGCATATTTTTCCACGCCACCCTGATGGTTCTGAGTTTTCCTAGACCCCACACGCGCTGTCTACTCGACGTGCTTTCTCGCCACTGCCATCAGATTTACGTGTCTGTGGAACATCAGTGGGGATAGGCCGTCGGTGGGTTAATATCAAACATGAAAACAAACTTAGTGATCTATCCTAACATGCACATCTTCAATGCTGTCAACCGGAGGACGACTTGATGTTAGGAATCTCGTTAAACTGGTCGTAAACATGGGGACGGTTTACGCTGTAATTTGAACAGGGATGGAAGCGGAAAGTTCGTCTGTTGCTGGAACAATATGTATGGTAGAGGGAACCTAGTCACGAATACGTCAGCTGTGGTGATATAATACCCTAGAGAGGCTATAACTATAACGACAGACTCCTATTGTGTGTCGCGGTGATACACTCGTTGTTTCAACGTCATGCGCGGCTAACTTCTTCCAGGGACAATCTCTTGTTCCGTATCTATGTCACAGACGGGATTGTCTTACCTGGTCCCAACACAAAATAGCGAGAGTCTAGTACCAGATTCATAAACATGTGTCTTAGTTGTAAGCAAGCTGCAAGCTAATGTATCCATTACTGGTGACGTTCAAAAACGTCATATTTTTATTAATGCTCACCTCACAGTTCTCTCTCTTCTTCTCTTGGGTGCCCGGGGCATCCGATCGGGCGGCTGGTCGGGGCTGTGCAACGCTGAACAACTCATCCATCTTATGATAGTCCACTTTATAGTTGTTGAACAGTTTGCCAACCAACGTCCACAAGTTACTCTTGCCCATCACTTTGTTCATTGAAATCTTATGCCATTGAAACGTCCTCATCTTTGACTTAGGTTTGGGCACATTGACCTGTGGGAGGTTAGAAGCCGGTGCTTTGGGTGCGCCACCCGGAGGTGGGGAAGGGGGAGGGCATCCTGGGGGTGGAGGTGGAGGGGTGGTCCTCCTGGTGGTGGAGGAGGGGTGGAGGAGGTGGAGGGACGGAGGCAGGGGGTGGTGGAGGAGGTGGTGGAGGAGGAGCAGGGGGTGACCCAAGTGGAGGTCGTTCCCCGTCAGGTGTGCTTGGCGCTGACCCCCTCCCAGTCCTCTGTTTTGGGTTTCCGTGTCCACCATCCCCACCCTCCTTGTGACAGGAACAACAACACTTAGGGTCCCCGGATCGGTCCAGTTTCCTAGACGTAGACACCAGCAGTTTCTGAGCCTCCGAAGCATTCTCTATAAGCGTGGCTTTGGACACCAACTGTTCCACTGTCTGCCAGACTGTGTCGCTGATGGGATCATTTGGATCTATCTTTAGGAGATGCTGAAGGCATGTGAGGAAGTTCAGCTCTTGGGGAAGAGCATACCTGTCGAGAAACATAAAGGTTCATATGAAATATATATTTACCAAATCTATTACAAATTGTCCATGCAATTTCTACTACCATAACCTTAACCAAATATTTTGCATTTTATCATGTTTCAAGATTTAATCATGTCCTTGAGAAAATCATTTGTAAGATAGAGGATATAGCAGGCCCAAGGAGGCATTAAGGCAGATTGAAAACTTGATCTTAAAATCTAACTGCATTTCCCCCTTAACTAACCAGATTAACAGGTCTAGAACATGTCACGTATAGGGGTCAGCTGGGTCTATCCCTTCCAGCACATGCAGCCAGGCGTTTGGCACATCGTTTCTACCTGTTATTGCTTGCATGCTAATCAGCCGAACGCTGCAGGTGCGCGCTTTGCAGTGAAGGTAAAGATATGTACAGGTAGTCAGGGTATTAGGACCGTCTCGCACCTGAGTTCTACCCCGCCATCCCCGTTCTGGGGACAAAGCCGGACCTGTTGCTATGGGCTGGCACCAGACTGCTGTTAGAAGCCTCCATGACACATGAATAGTCTACATCTACATATAACCTAGTCACAGTCTTTGGAACTTCCGTCTTGTTTTTAGTCTCAGTTTCGGTTTGAACTTTAAGAGTTTAAACTACTGTTAGCGTATGCATGGAGCCTCGAACACGTAAAACCTTCAGGTTCATTAAAACGGAGTCCACACAGAACGTACTTGAAGAGCAACTGACATGCGTGACATAGCTCTCGAGTCACCATGTTTTCAAACGGAGGAGGAACATAAAACACATAAGAATATTTTATCAATATTTTGTTACCACGGATACCAACTTATAAAGCTGTGAGAAAACACCTTAGCCAAGCTCTCTTGCACAGTTTCTAATAAATTCAAACAACTTCACGAACAGGTAAATATTTAGAATATATAGATTTCATTATTTATTGTATACTGACTGTATTTTCAACACCTGCAGACCAAATATCGTGAAGAAAATATTGAATGGGTTCATTTTAAGTATCTACTTGATTTACACAACCAATAAACGAGGTGTGATAAATTTTGGGTAACATGTTTCACAGACAGTAAATATTTACTGATGGATGCCCCAAGGACAGGTAGAATTTCAAGCATGGTCATCTGACGTGTGGAACATGCCATGTCCTTGGCTTGCACTGCACGTGACCTGGTCTGTTGTGACAGTGACATATGATGAATGTCAATGTGTCTCGTGCGCTATTGTACTATCCCCCTTACAACTGGTAAATATGTAAAGCAATAACCGTGCCTTGACGTGAGGGGGCACTGATACTTTGTTGGTTTTGACATTTTGCAGAGATGTATAAGACTTTTAAGCAGTATACGGGTGTTACTTAACAAGAGGGGCAACTTCAAAAAGGTTAGGAGGACACATATCGTGATATTTGACCTTTTTTCTGACATCAGTACTCACTTCTATCTGACTTACGGTATCAGGATACTTTGTGTACCAGCACACAAATCATGTTTAGTCATGAACTGACAAATACACAATTTTGAAATGGTTTTTTAAGGAAAATTAAAGTACCACACCCGACAATATGCAGACAGTGTCTGTTATTTCGACAGTTAAGGTAAGGTAGTTAGAGATGAATAGTATGTGGGCATAAGGTATTCCCCTAAGGTATTGTGAAATATCTTATCTGAATAAGACGTAAGAGTCTAAGCAATTTAAATTTTCATAACTATGTAAAGGAACTAGTTTCGAGGGAAACACATTTATGATCTCGAAATTAAGATTCCAGTCACATTAACATGAACTGTGTCTAACTTGGGATCATCTCCCAATATTATATTACGCAATGAAATGTAGTTTCCAAGTGAATGTTATTTTGAGATAACCGCGTTCGAGAAAAGGAGATTCGACTCACATGTTTGTAGATAGCGTGAAAGACGTCCATAGGACAGCTGAGGTCCACGTTCTTAGAGGCAGGATGAAGTTCATCATCATTGGCCTTGTGTTCCTCAAACAGCTGCAGCTGTAACGTAACGCCATGTTCCTCCTCCTTCCTGTAATACGACGTTAACAACGACGTTAGCGACATCTTAAACTACCCCAAATGGATCTACGTTCGCCCATGGCTACCGAGGAAGTGACATAATGTTTACGTTGGGCCAAATCCAGCTGCAACCTAAAGGTCTCCATCGCCGACATTTTGGTAAGGATAGTCTTATGCAAATGTTGCTGGTGGCTGCGGATTTAAGTGAAATTTATTCATCTAGCTCAATTTACAAATATCTTATCACAAATCAGTAAAGTGAGGTTGTCTGCAGTCGGACTGGACAGAGACAAATCACTAAGTAGCCATGACTGGACAATGGTCTTGTATTTGTGGTCCATGGTCATGGTAACCATGACATCAAGGAGTGCCACCATGGTGATGTTTTGGTTGTAATTCTTTCCTTTTCTAACTTAACTTAAAATTCGTTCTTTACATTTCCTTACATATTTATTCCAACTGCATGGAATAAAACTGCATGGCATTCAATATACGCTTCTTTTAGGTACCTTCATGTGTTTTCAGAGCTTGCAATGACTCACTCTCAATTCACGAACACACCTTTTAGGGCATACACTGAACCAAATCATCAACATTACCCATCTTAAATAAAAAAAGTAATCAATAAAGTAAACTGTGTCCAGTACAACTAAAACCTAAATATTTCTTATACTTTAAACCCCCCTGAGAAACATTCATCGGAATTCAAGGTGTAAATAGTTGGTTTACTTAAGCTATTATCAGAAGAACCTTCTTTAAAAAGAACGTTGGTTCGAGATGATGCCCCAAAAGTTGGCAGAAGAAGATGCCACAAGAGTTGGTACAAGATAGTGCCACAAGAGTTGGTACCAGATGGTGCCCCAAATACATTCCTATCTTCAGCATGTTTCTCTGCCTACTGTTAATGCCAGCAATATACGCATGACATCTGTAACGCCTAAACCCGTAACGAGTAATTAAAGAAGGTCACGTGACAGCGTTTCGTCTTACCTGAGCGAATTTAGGACGTCTTGAAGCTTGAGACCTGAAATATAGGCAAAAAGTTTTGAAACGTATATTTATTTCAGCGCCTGAGGATACAACTTTATCTATTGACAGTGTTAGTATATAGATATAGCATCAAAATAAATATATTTTATTTCTTTGATACAGTTAGATAGAAGGCACACCCATGTCTCACAGAAGCAACATCCAGGACATCTGTTGTTTGAAGGTCGCTTGTGTTATTCATATATTGTCAATGTGTTTGTACACCCTTCCAAACAAGGATCACGAAAGGCCCATTTACGTTGATGTTTCTATAGGATATGTTGATAGCTGGAAGATAGTCATGGGTAGATTCTATCAATGTTTGTTGCAAGTCATGGATGAAAAACATTCAATTGAATGGAAATATCCCCATTCAACTGTACGCATGCGCACAAACATTCATGTAAACCAACGAGGAGACTTTACCTGTTTGTTACGTTTTAAACCAGGTGATTTGCTTGTTAATGCCTCTCCCATATTCACTAATGTAAATGTTTTTAAATAGGTTGTATGTTTATATACTATGGAAAGTAGAAATTTGAGGTTTTTAATTTGGAGATTTGTAATCGTATGAGTCATTCAAAATGTGAAGCTCTTTAGCCCGTATCTGTAATACCTCTTCCTATCTGGTATGACAACAGAGACTATTTAAGTTGTATATAACCAGTCTTAAAATGTATTCTTTAATCTTTTTTACCGTGTATGCAAACATAGAGAGGATATACAGCTGTATACAGTCGTATAAACACCTCTCAAGGTTGTATACAGATCATTATACCATCGAAAAAGTGTATACAGATCTATAGACCATATTCAGATGTATACAATGTAAAAACACATTTACAGTAATTTACGCCTATAAGAAACATACTTACAGTAATTTACGACTATAACAAACACAAATACATAAATTTACGACTATAACAAACACATTTACAGTAATTTACGACTATAAGAAACACACATTTACAGTAATTTACGACTATAAGAAACACATTTACAGTAATTTACGACTATAAGAAACACATTTACAGTAATTTACGACTATAAGAAACACATTTACAGTAATTTACGACTATAAGAAACACATTTACAGTTATTTACGACTATAACGAACACAATTACATAAATTTACGACTATAACAAACACAATTACATAAATTTACGACTATAACAAACACATTTACAGTAATTTACGACTATAAGAAACACATTTACAATTATTTACGACTATAACAAACACAATTACATAAATTTACGACTATAACAAACACATTTACATAAATTTACGACTATAACAAACACATTTACAGTAATTTACGACTATAAGAAACACATTTACAGTTATTTACGACTATAACAAACACAATTACATAAATTTACGACTATAACAAACACATTTACATAAATTTACGACTATAACAAACACATTTACAGTAATTTACGACTACATCAAACTCAAATGGACCACTAAATGTAGTTCGTTATATCCATAGTTCGTTATATGCGTGCTCGGCATAAACATAGTTTACCGTATATGCATACAGACACATCAGGCTATACTGACGAATATAGTCTCCAAAAGATGAACGGATCTCGACAGCAAACAAGAGATAATTATCCTAAAAAACACTGGGATAACAGCCGCGTAACAATTTCACAAATAGTGTAACCCGCTGACACAACAAAGGATGGGCGGTATTTGAGAACTCTTCCTCTGAAATGAGGCTGATGAGCGTACATAGGCATCGCATGCTTCGAGCTTCACGGGCACAGCTAAAATTGAAGCTCTGTTTCAACACCTATTTAAAATGTCAAATTGTTTTTCTTCAAGGGTCGAGCTCACCCCTGTGAAGTGTTGAGAAGTGCTAAGTCACAAGTTTGAAGGTCGCAATTTTGGCAAGCGGGTGCCAGGCAAATTGAAGCTAACAAGACAAAATGTGATTAAAATACTTCTAATGTATGTATCAAAACTAGAATAAACATATTCCCCACATGCGTGACATTTCTGAAATGCTGGGTGTGCTGATTATGCATGCTGCGTACTTAGTTACACGTAAAGTCAGTTTATTTAACGTTGAGTTATGCATGCATGCATTACCGATTTGTACCGTAGAGCTTCGTCACAACGTTATGGAGTATGCGTTATCCTTTCCATGACATCATCACTACCCGTTTTGAAAAATCCCGAATACCTTCTGTGACATCACCCGTCTTTATTCTGAAATCGTGATTATCTCACCTCTGATACCGTTATTTCCGGTCATGTGATGTCTGGAGTACCCTCCCTTTCTGTGAGATCATGGTTACCCTTTCTGGGATATGGTGCTTATCATTTTTGTGATATCGTGATTACCATTTCTGGGTTATTATGATTATCATGTTTGTGATATCGTGATTACCATATCTGGGATATTATGATTATCATTTTTGTGATATCGTGATTACCCTTGCTGTGATATCGTTATTACCCTTTCTGTGATATCGTGATTACCCACTCTGTGACATCGTGCTTACCCATTCTGTGATATCGTGATTACTCTTTCTGTGATATAGTGATTACAATTTCTGTGATATCGTGATTACCCTCCCTGTGATATCGTGGTTGCCCTTTCAGGGACATCGTGATTATCCTTTCTGTGATATCGTGATTACCCTTTCTGGACATTAATGATACAACTCTTCTCGATAATGGGCCTTACTATGACATAATGACTATCTTTCTGGGATATCATGATATACCCTTTCGGGGATATCAAGGTCACAAGTGTTGATATATCACGATCACCCTTTCAGAGGCATAATGGTTGTCTTTCTATGATGTCCTGATGTTTTGATATATGTTTCATTGTTTTACCGAACACATTGTGTCACCTGTGTTGACGAACAGGGATATCCCCGCGTCACGCCTTCCCGGAAAGGTCAACCAGGCCGATTCGTTACGCAGCAATTAGAGACAATATTTGCCTACGACTTGTTGGAACTATGTACAGGAGAGAAGTCGTCAGGTGAACTGGCGACCTGGCAATTTCTAGCTGTCGGCGACGGTACCAGTAAGGCTGTTTGGAGCACCGAGCACAATACGACATCGCCTAATTGCAACCATTTAATCCCGATACATAATAGCCCCAAAACCTCAAGAACTGCTTGTATGTTTTGTACGGAATTGCTCTGCACCATTCTGTTTGTTCAAAGTGCGAATGAAAGACAGACTTGCTTTGATGGCTAAGGTTGGTGTGAGGTAAAGCAAACTTGTTTTATTGACCTCGAGTGCTTTTGATGACGTAGAATTACCTTAATTACGAATAGACCCTATGTAAAGGCGAACCCCTGAGAAGAGTACTTTCTACAAAGGGGTGACCGACTGAAGACAAGGCTGAAGTATTTATATATTCCGTCTGTGTTTTCGACAGGAGAAAATGAAGGATGGGTAACTAATGGTTACATCGTTGTCTCACCTCACTGAAGACGCACAGAAGGCTCATTCCTGGACTCGCTTGCACTAAACCACCTTAGTGCTAAGATCATCGTAACTACCATCATCTTCATGCTAAGATCATCGTCATTACCATACTTTAACATACACTTACACAAGTCTTCATGTTAAGATCATCGTAACTACCATACTTTAACATACACTTACACAAGTCTTCATGCTAAGATCACGTCGTGTTAAAGGACATTGTGTCCCTTACGTGATCATAATGTTAACTCGATGTCAAATCATACATTCACTCACGAATCCAATCAATAGCAAGCATAGGTTGTCAATAATGAGTCTGTGTAATCACAAAAATGGTGACCGAATTCTATGTCGTATCGTTTTGAATGCCATTTCAGAAGAACAAAAGACCCCCACTGATCTCCAACGAGGATCTTTGACGAATACCTCCCAATTTCAGTGGACACGGGTCAGAGGGTTGACGTATTTCACGACCAAAATACGACTGGAAACTTAAACCATATTCATGAAGTCTCTTGACCCTATCACCCCTGCTAATGACCATCGCCTTGTATTTATGAGTAGGTAGAGCTGACCAATGGAGACGTGACCTCACTCTGTCCTCACAACTCTGGCCACGGTCCAGCAACGGCCAGTATATACATGTTATTGTGGTCATCAATAGGCGAGCCCGTTCAGGAGGATCAGTAACAAGTATCAAGGATTTCTTCACAAAGGCCTCGCCATGACCACAAGCATGGCTAAGACGGCCAGCCATACAGGCATTGTGACAAGGATCAAACACGTCTGTTTGCCATCCGTCTTCAAGACTCCGTGTTCATAAACATGGCTATACGACGGGTTAGTGTTTATCATTTGATAAACAGAAAATATTTAGATATGATTTTGACAGTATTGTGTACCTTGAACAGGTTTGCTTAAGCTGCACCCGTTTTGTGGAGCTGCACGGGAGAGGACAAGACCTTGAAATATTCAGCCCATCCTGTGTACGAGCAATTAAACAGGTAGATAGACTGAATAAGGCAAGGGGTCGCAGTGCTAGCGTTCCGGGGTGCGTAGGAAGGGGCGCACCTTAAGGGTATCTAGGTTAAGGTCGTCTACTAACCTGATTAGAATCAGCAAAGGTTTGGATATGTAAAACAGCCTTTGACTTGAAGAATCTGATTATTTTTCGTGAAGATTAATATAGTAAACATCTGTATATTTTCGTATAGATGCGTATAACGAACTACGGTTATAGCGAACTAAAGTTAGTGCTCCTTTTGAGTTCGTTATAACCGAAGTATACTGTATATTTAAAAAAGTCCTTGACGTGACTAATATGATTAAAATTAGTGAAAATTCATATGTGTAAAATAGTCCTAAATTTGATTGATCTGATTAGATTCAGTGGATATTCATATACGTAGACAAGTTTTTAACTTGATGTTCTGATTAGATTCCGGGGGAATGTTCGGGTATAAGGTTGTCTTCGAAGTCGCGTGTTTGGGGATTGGGCTACCATATGGGCCTGTCGCTACGGTTGAAGGTACACATGGTCAGACAATATGTACATCTATAAAGTGAATTTATGTGGGCTGTTTAGGATGCAGCGCTAAGTCATCTCTGTGTTTCAAGAACAAGGTCACCTGAAATTCACCTTTCGTCTTCGTCACACTTGGCTTGGGGTTGAATATGCATTGAAGTGTACTAAACTATGCAGAGGGGTGAAGGATGAGTTGGTTCCAACAAGGGAGTGTCTATCTGGTCCAAACCGCTCACACCGGGACTTAAAGGAAATTATTACTTACAAAATACCCTCGTCTTATCTGAAGGAGTTACGTATTCATACGGCATAGGCATCTCCACAATGGTGTTTACGACCTTCAGAAATATATGCAAATTTCATAAAGCGACAAGCGAAATAAACACATTGCATGCCCTAAAGGTTCGACATGGAGGGTGCTGCATAATGCATGGGGGACAGGTACGGCTGAATGGGTCATGCTCAGCGTTACCGTGACAGACACGGGGTGAGGCGGGGGGTGCAGGGGTGAGACAAGGTTTGACAATAACCCCTGTCTTGTTTAAAAAATAATATCCACTTGTCACACTTTTCACTAAAAACACTTTTCGACGCCAGGTCTCCCGGGTGGGTGAATAAAATGTATGGGGAGGGGGAGGGCCGAGGGGATGGGGGATAACGTTGTTACCGACAAAGCGTTACGCTAACGTTTCCCAGTCGTGCGGGGGTATAATACGGCGTGTAAAGTGAGAAGCAGTGAGGGTTTGTAGCGACTTCTCGACTTATTTACCACCGGTTTGTTGAATGTCCACCGATCGTGATAAAACGCAGCGCAACATGCCGCACACAGACCTATTCGTCACTCCGAGGGCAGGGTTCGCAACGATACTTGTACGAGGGATGGAGCCCTTACATGAATCACTTGTAAACGACACCGATTTGTAAATTCACTTCCACGAGTGTGTTCGAATTGTCTTGATCAGCATCATCATATTGTTCCTATGCCCGTTTCACACATCTTTTAAACCGTGATTTCAAATCTCTCTCATAGACTTAGATTAAGTTTGTTTTTTTTTAATTTAAAGTAACACATTATATATTTAGCATCATGTTCGTAGCGTTTGGCTTGTGCCAAAATATTTCGAAATTGTGACTTTGCCGGATGCCCGATGGACTGTTTAAATACTTTAAGACTGACATACTGGACGTATTCCAGTGAAGGTGTATTGGGCAAGGTTTGGACTTACCATAGAATTCGTTCCTGATCCGGATTCGATCCCCGACGTCTTCTGTGTATATGATGACACAGTTGATGAACTCGAGCAGGATGACCTTGTAATGGATATTGTCCGTGCGGGTCAGTTCGTCCAACACCATGGAGAAACGGTATCGTTTCTTCTTGCTCGTCTGTAACAAGAGAGTTGCGTGAGTTGGCTTTTACGCAGCTTTTAACAGTATTCAAGCAATATTACGGCGGGGGACACCCCAAATGGGCTTCACATATTGCACCCATGTGGGGAATCGAACCCGGGTCTTCAGCGTGACAAACGACAGCTTTAACCACTAGGCTACCTCATTGTTTTTGGCGATACAAATAATAACATAGGTCGTTCGTAGATACAAAATGGTACAAACGTCTTGATAGTACATATGGCAGAGTAAGGATAAGCGGATGCGGATGGTACTGACAGATTTATCTAGCTTATTACAAGGACAAACACATTGTTGCATTTGATAAGGCAGCCTCATTGGTAACCCAGTTGGTGAGGATAAACACTGGCGATAACGAGAGGGTAGGTGAACATGAATTAAACTGGGTTATTGTAGCTTGTTCTTTAAAGATAAAGTCAGAACCAACTTTCCTTTTCACTATTAACGATTCCAGGAGCAGTTCTAAAATGCATTCATTACTGTGTGCTTATCCCAAGATCTCAAAGCCAATGTTAGCGATCAGGCGCAGATTGTCTAACTACTTGCCCGTATACACCAAGGCTGAGCGAGGTATACCGTGACTGAATATACTGCAATTTTCTGTAATTGCTCCAGTTATAATTGCCTTGTTTCTAGAAACGTGATAAAAGTAATTCTGTGTTGTTATTGAGCTTGTATCCCAGGGTTTTGCGTGAAACTATGTGTTGGTTTGCTGGAGTGTAGTCAGTGGCCTTGATGGCGGCAAGATGGACGGAAGACAAGACATGTATCGCGGTCTGCTACAACTAAAACCCGGAGACGCCGATGGTCGAGATATACGTGTAATTAGCACGTAAAGACGCTGTCAGGGTCGGCTCAGGTGACATCGTCAGAGAGGGTGGACACGAGGGTGACCTTTGACACGATTGTGGACATAGTGTTACGGTAAAGACCAGATGACATTGTCCTTCACACTAATTACTATTGAAACGCCAAACATCTATTGGACTGGACCGTTAGACAACAGGGGACTTCATTACTCAGAAGCAATGCCGGATCTGGTATAGATAATGTATTCTGATGTACATATCAAGGATAAAGCAGAGGTGGAGAGTCACGAAGGCCTTCGGAGCAATATTAAGGACAGTTTGGGTGGCCCAAATGGTATAGCGATCCTTTGATGCGCCTGTTACCAGGTTCGAATCCTAAATGGGTAAATAGGCGTGTTACGATACTCCAACAGCGCAGGACTTTGAGCATAAGAACAACAGTAAAAACTGAAATACGGATTTCTGTGATATAACTCAACGCTTTTTGTCCATTCCCATAACACAGCAGGATTATAGCTGCAAGAGACGAAAACAAAAAATGACCCTGACACAAGCCATATATTGACATTCCCTATCACTTCCACCTGAAGATCTTCAACCCATTCGGGCCATTGTTTTCAAACCACCATTGTTTTCCCAGCTATCCAACAAGTTAATTTTTACTGTGCACCATACAGAAATAGAAAATCAAAACCGCGAATAGAAACTCAAATGGATTTCCCTATGTAAAAGTATCAACGCTTCATATTTTCATCACACGTTCTGGTCCTTCAGTCTTCTTCCCATGCGTCTATTCCCAGCCCCGTCGTTACAAGGTAGACCGGCAAGCCTTGTATAAACCTACCCCTGACACCACTAGGAACGTCACTGCCCCACGTAAGCTGGCAAATCCTCAACCATGCACCAGGACCAAGTGTTTTCGATGTTCAAATTGCTGCGTTTATTCGTATCCTGGCCCCAAAGCCTTGGTAAAGATCGCCACTGTCCTTCTAGCCGGGATCCTATTGTACTCACAACTGGACAAACTACAGCTCGGTTTGGGATGTTAGCTCAGCCAGGCTTTGCCACACCTTTGAAGCAGTTTTCACACAAACAGTAGCAGTCCGTACCCTCTCCCTGTCATGTCATAAACAATGGTGGCGATCCCAATCCATTGCTATATTCTGTTAACTCATTCGATCCGCCCCTCGGGTATTTAGTGATGTTGATGGTACTTATATAAATATTGGCATAAACGTCTGTGATTATCAGCAGGACAAATGGTGAATTGGCATGACATATGGTTTCTCATTTTGGTGTCTAGCTCATCCGTCCTTATGCCCGCTGTTGGAATTCCAGGTTAGAATTATTCCCCAGAAACCTTGGCCCGAAAATGGAAAGGGTGGTCAGGCAAGGTGATATGGTTGTATGTGTGTAGTGAGTGAGTATGGTTTTACGCCGCTTTTAGCAATATTCCAGCAAAATCACCGCAGGGCACACCGGAAATGGGCTTCACATATTATACCCAAGTCGGGAATCGAACCCGGGTCTTCAGCATGACGCGCGAACGCTTTAACCACTAGGCTACCCCACCGCCCCTGTAAATGTGTAAGCGTCACCAGACGGCGTTGGACGTTGGTCATTAATAACTGGTTTGTTTGTTCAAACTGGTCTATTGACATACCAACACTTAGCTGGAATATTTCTTAGTTCAGTTGTACACAAACCACAAAGGCTACTCCATGGTCGATTTTAAACAAACCAAAATGCTAGTCTACGGTCTAACATTCTCTAGGTTGTCGCCACATACTTTCAGAATCCTTTAAAGGGAGACTCAAAGCGTGCGCTTACATTTCAATCATAAATAGAGAAATGCAGACCTAGTCATTACCGGCTTCGTTTCAGCTTAAGATGTGACTGAGAGAAGGGTTTTCAGATTTTGGGAGGATCAAACGAAACCATTATAGGTGACACTGGCGGTGGGCGTTGGGTGGGATTTGAGGCGGTGTGGTTGGGAAAGCATTACGTCAACTAGTTTCTGAAGTGTTTTCAAGATATGGGTTCATTCAGACTCAGGCCATAGGTCGTCTCCTCCTTATGGATCAAAGTAAATATATGAGTAACCCAAGCAGAGGATGATTTGTATGTGCACCACAAGCATGGAATAATGGCTACGTCACCGTCCCAGCGTCGTGAGGTTCATGGCGTTATTGAGGTGCATGTGCCCCAGGACACTCATTCAGACTCTACATGTTGATCTGCCGTGTTGAGACAGCGTGTTGGGAGGCCTCAGCCAACGTCAACAGCTGCTCCAACGTCAACATGACACTGTGACGACTTGGTCTAACATCATGTCGACAATTGGCCGATTCATACAAAGCCGATACTGTTACTAAATGAAAGTGTCCATCTTGTTTGAGTTCCCTCCCCCTTCACTTTCTCTTCCTCCCTCTTCCTCTTCGTTTGACTTTACAATCACGGAAGTCAAACGTTCATGGTTTTGGTGTCACGTTGATGGTATTTGATTGGGTACCGTAAACCCTATGACGTGACTCTGGTCAGTTTGGACACAAAGGCCTCTTCGAACCCTGCAACGACGTTACGTCATAGCGGCGACCCCTCGATGACAGCAACAACAGGCACGTCCGGAGCATCAACAGCTTGGACACAGCGTGTACAAAGTGTGATCCACGGCGGTCAGTACGCATCGGTTTAATGTCCACTATCAAAGACCACCCGCTCTATTTCCAAATAAACTCCCATGTATCAAGTAGCCTTCCAAGAGAGTCAACACTGTGACGTCAAGTTTGTCTGATCTAACCAAACGTCAGTTACATTCCAAACATACACACCAACGTCGATGAAAGGACAATGTCTCAGTACTTAATCTACTTCTCTGGCTCATATGATACAAACATAACATATTCAAAACAATGGCCTCGCACCACCGTCTCAAGCCTAAAGTGCTTGACCTACTCACTTCCAAAATGGCGCCCAGGTAACCCGGAATATTACGCCCACGGTGGAACATTATATCTGTTATATATGTTGGTATAAACAGTTCCTACGGAAGCCTGCGGTGTGAGCAAACAGTCAGATATGTGCCAAACATCAGTACATAGTGCTCTATCATTTCACCCTATTTTATAGTTCTTAGCATTTACGTCATAATTTAATGCATCAAGGACATTTTGCAGTGTCAGCTTGAAAATACTCGACAACCGGACATATATGATGCAGACAGTCGGTTAATGGGGCCATATGAGGGATATATACAATATATCATATGATGAAACAAACACCCGCTTGTCATAGACATGTTTGACAACAGGTGTGTGTTGATACAAGTCGATAACACGAATTGTTTGCACGGCGCTATGACTCACAGTATATATCTAGGCGGAGTACGTATATTGAAAATCACACGACGAACCCATTACACCTGCACAGTACCGTGAACGTCCAACTTTGGAGCCATTGTAGTTACACATTGAATAAAGAGTGAAAGTGTGACGCCTCTAGCCTATAACACAAACACACCTCTGTGTTAAACATATATTTAACCGTTTAGCACCAATAGGCGTTGCTATCAATAGTTCACATTGAATGGCGTATGTACGTGAGCTGTTACAACAACTCTTATCTATTATAAAATATCAATGGACTGTTCTTCAGATTTATTGAGTTGGCAGTTTTGCTTTTTTGTGGAGGTGAGCAACCATGAGGTAGTCTTACTGTATGCCATATAAGTTGGAGGTTGATTGTATCTATAATATTTATTCTAATCAAAAAGAATTGTCAAACTATTACATCACAAGTGTCACAGGGAGTAATTTATACAAATTTATTCATACAATTTTAAATGAACATCTTAGACCATAATGGTGCAGGGAATTTTCTGATATACGAATAAAGTCATGTACTCTTGCTTATGTTAACTGTGACTCAAAAACGTTCGAGATAAACGTTGCCTTGACTAACACCTCGTCTCTGAAATGAACATATTTTAGAGAAGAAAACCCCCCAGAAATTATGTTTTGAGAAAATAACACAAAAGGGAGCCCAGAGGCTTTCTTCATCTGATACTTCAGAAATCTAGACTTGCCACATATTATAGACTTGCATGGGCTGTATTGGCTTTTTGGGTCTGTGTAACCGTTGTTCTACAATGTATTTTAAACATGTGAT